GGGAGGGCCCGGGGGAGGCACCGCTCAGCGGCGCGGCTTCGTGATCGCTGCCCGGTCTCGGCTTCCCGCCGGTGGCTTTGCGCTTCCCGGGTTTGGAAGAAGCGGTGGGAGGTTTTTCACGGCCAGCGTCTCTAGGCTTGATGTGAGGTAGGCCGCTCGGTTGGACCGTAACACGGAATTTCTGGGAGAAAGCTGTTACGAAAACCTGGAGGTAATAGGAGGCTTTTGACAGCTTTACAGCTGTGAAGCAAAGCTCTTAAAGAAGCACGGGAGAGCGAAACGCTTTTTCCCACTTCAGTAAATGCAAGCATGACAGCCATGGGTAAACCCGTTTCTAAAAAAATTACTTCTATACAAGTATTGTATACTAGACAAGAATGCTTGTCTCCCACAGCATTCTCCTCGAGAAGCTGGCGGCTCACGGCTTAGACAGGTGTACTCTGCGCTGGGTCAAAAACTGGCTGGACGGCCGGGCCCAGAGAGTTGTGGTAAATGGAGTTCAATCCAGTTGGCGGCCGGTCACGAGCGGTGTTCCCCAGGGCTCAGTATTGGGGCCAGTTCTGTTCAATATCTTTATCAATGATCTGGATGAGGGGATCGAGTGCACCCTCAGTAAGTTTGCAGACGACACCAAGTTGGGCGGCAGTGTTGATCTGCTCGAGGGTAGGAAGGCTCTGCAGAGGGACCTGGACAGGCTGGATCGATGGGCCCAGGCCAACTGTATGAGCTTCAACAAGGCCAAGTGCCGGGTCCTGCACTTTGGCCACAACAACCCCATGCAGCGCTACAGGCTTGGGGAAGAGTGGCTGGAAAGCTGCCTGGCGGAAAAGGACCTGGGGGTGTTGGTCGACAGCCGGCTGAACATGAGCCGACAGTGTGCCCAGGCGGCCAAGAAGGCCAACGGCATCCTGGCCTGTATCAGAAATAGTGTGGCCAGCAGGAGCAGGGAAGTGATAGTGCCCCTGTACTCAGCACTGGTGCGGCCGCACCTCGAATACTGTGTTCAGTTTTGGGCCCCTCACTACAAGAAGGATGTTGAGATGTTGGAACGTGTCCAGAGAAGGGCAACGAGGCTGGTGAGGGGTCTGGAGAACAAGCCTTATGAGGAGCGGCTGAGGGAGCTGGGGTTGTTTAGCCTGGAGAAAAGGAGGCTGAGGGGAGACCTCATTGCTCTCTACAACTACCTGAAAGGAGGTTGTAGCGGGAGCACAAGTCTTATGAGGAGCGGCTGAGGGAGCTGGGGTTGTTTAGCCTGGAGAAAAGGAGGCTGAGGGGAGACCTCATTGCTCTCTACAACTCCCTGAAAGGAGGTTGTAGCGGGGTGGATGTTGGTCTCTTCTCCCAAGTAACTGCCGATAGGATGAGAGGGAATGGCCTGAAGTTTTGCCAGGGGAGGTTTAGATTGGATGTGAGGAAAAATGTCTTTACTGAAAGAGTGGTTAAACATTGGAACAGGCTGCCCAGGGAAGTGGTTGAGTCCCCATCCCTGGACGTATTTAAAAGACGTGTAGATGAGGCGCTTAGGGACACGGTTTAGTGGGCATGGTGGTGTTGGGTTGACGGTTGGACTCGATGATCTTGGAGGTCTCTTCCAACCTTAATGATTCTATGATTCTATAAGTAATTTTTACTTTCATACTACAGCATGAGTTGCAATGTCTGGTCGTATTTAATAGCTCACTAGTTGTCAAAATTAGAAAGCACGTGAAGAAACCGCTGTGACTGACTTAGCATCAGATGTTGCATGTCAAGATGCACGATGTCGATCAGTGTAATGCTGTATTTTACATCACTTGAGGAGCTGACTAGGTAGCGGTTTTGTATGTACTCACAAAGACTCTTCAGTTGCACTGAGCTTGCCATAAGTAACACATTAGTCTGTGTTTTATTTTGGCTTGTTCTACGTGAAGCATGTGGAAGCCATTAATGCTACTGCCTTTAAAATCGGGGATTGTTTTTCATCGTGTCTCCACAGGCTTCTTACCTCCCATAACTCCTCCAGAAAAATTCTTTCTTTCTCAACTGATGTTGGCCCCCCCTAGAGAACTCTTCAAGAAGACTCCTCGGCAGATTGCTTCAATGGATGTGGGCAACATGGCCCAGTCAGTGGATATAAGTGGCCTTCAGCTGGCATTAGCAGGTAAGGAAGACTTGTGGCTGAGCTTCAGTTATGAATGGAAATGCTAATTGTAACGTGGCTATGAGTTACCCGAGAAACACTCTTGTCTATCTTAAATATGAAAAAGGCTGAACTATGCTTTAGGGTCTTCAAGCCCATGTTCAAGCACATAGAGAAACTTCAAGCAGCGATTACGCCTTAACTGTTTTATCCTACTTAACAAGCAGCTTTTTAAGCATGTATGTCACTGCCTTAAACATAAGAGCATTTTGCAAGTATAGGGAGATTTTCATCTAAAGCTTTGTGGGGGTTTTTTGGGGCCATTTTTTTGGGTGTATTTTTATCCCTTTTCACTCTTTGCGGTATTTCTAGTATGAGAGAACAAGCACAACTGTCACACACCTGGCAAATTGTCTATTACAATTATATCTTCAGTTTTATAAAATAAAGTCAGATCTTACAGCGTTAGCTCAAGAGTGGGAAGGTGGTCTACTTTTACTAGATTGAAAAGAAAAGCAATGTGATGCTTATCCTTTTGACAGGAGAAAAGGAGCAGGAACATGATTGTTCTGATCACGTTGACTGATGAGTCACATCTGGAGCTAATCTGAAATAGAAAATATTGTTGGGAACAAGGAGCCAGTTTGAACACCAAAAAATAGTGGTTTTTTCCTAGGTACGTGCAAATGGACCCGCTTGCTTGAAACCTGACCATCCCACTTCTATATCTGTACAATGTGGTTTACTGCTCTGAGGTCAGGCACTAACGAGGCTTTCTCCGTCCTGCAGTTGTATCTTGGTATCGTCATTTTTTCTGTAGAATCTGACATTGACTTGTTATGCTGTGGTATACTGTCCCTTGTTCACAGTGTACAAATGTCCTCTGGTGTCCTCCTTAGCTACTATTTCCAGACTGCGGGATCTTTTGAAAATGCAAGTTGAATTACCCTAACATACCGGGTCGCGGGGGAGACAAACCCTTTTGGTTCTTGTTCAGTTCATCCTGCGTGTGTTCTCTAGAATACTTCAGTGCATTCAGATTTTGTGAAACCTCAGGTAACTTGTGATTTTTAGCATAAGGCGTATGTGATGCCTTAAAGAAGCCTGGAGTTTTTTATAGGCTTTTATTTGTTTTTCCCCTTGGTACTGTGTTTGCCTTCTGAACAGTTTGTTCTCACTAAAAATGAAACAGGTAGAGAACCTCAGAACTGTAGTTGTATGGATGGGTACTCTAGGCCGTGCATTTTTGATTTGTCCTTTTTTAAAATAGAAGACACTGGTGGCTTAAAAGTACAGTACAAAGTCATTAATGGGGCTTTGCAAAATTAAGCCCTTTAAGATGTGCTTGTATCATTATTTACATAATACAGTAAACATCCATAATTAATTGCTTACGAGCAGTTGTATGAGTTACATAACAAAACAAGCTGCATCTGAAAAAGCTTCATGCTGTCTTTCTCAGGCTTCTAGCTCCCTGGAATAAATGTCTGCTTTCTATTCACTTTCTTAGAAGATAAATCTTTTGCTCGTTTTAGTATTGTGATGCTGCTTGACTGTCTATTTGTCGTGTTTCGGAAGGTATGTGAGTTTTCCAGAAGTCTTCAGTATATTTCTCCTTATGATTCAAGACGCAGGATGAAGCTGTGCTTCTGACAGTGCATAAATACTTGTATTATGGTGCTTAGATACAATGTTTGAGGTGTTGCCTTTACACCCTTTCCCCCCACATTTCACAGAACGTAACCGCTGTAAGACTTGGTGGCCCTTCAAAATTGTGGTCACTGAGACGAATTCAGGGCTATTTAGGGCAGGATGATTTTGACTTGCTTTAGAATATACCTGCAAAATCAGCTTAAAAAATTTAGAAAGCATTAAATATTTTTCAATCAGTGTATCTCTCCTAATCCTTTTTTTGTAAAGGGAGGAAAAAGATACTTGGCTTGTCTTCTGAACTTAAGCTCATTGTGACAATTCATTTGCAGCTGTAGGGTGGGTTTTCTAGTTTTGGTTTTTCTTTTTTTGTTTTTAGTGTTTCCTCCCCTCCAAAAAAGGTAGAATGTTGGACTAGAGCATCTTGGAAATGAGTATTAAAACTTGCTTTGTTCTCTTCTCCCTTTGGTCTACAGGAAGTTCATTCAAGCCTCGGTTTCTCCCTATAATTTGGTTTGGCTGATCTGGTGTGTTACTGTATCAAAAGTGTCACTTCCTCCTAGTTGCAGGGATGGGTCTTCTGCCAAAGTGCTCATAACTGTTTGTCTGCTAACCCTTATTTGATCTAAGAGTAATTGACCTGTATTAAAGTTAAATTTGTAATACATTGTAGAGCTTTCCTTTAAGAATCAAAGAAAGCTTATTTTTACCTGTAAAAAGAAAAAAAACATAGCTCCATAAGGGAACCTAAGTGTTTGTTTCCAGATTATTTTTTTAATTTAAACATCTAAATTCAAGATGCTATATTCTTTCCTGTTAAATCACCGTGTCCTAATTCTTGCTTCTGCTTACCTGAAACTGCTGATCCAGCCCTAATTCTTGAAGCAGTGAGGGTGAGCTTTTGAGCTTCAATGCATATAACTAAGGGCTCATGGAGGCTTCTAAAATCAGTGAATTGAAGGACTGTATCTTAAACTTTTGTATTTCTAATCAAGCATCATTAATCATCTGAGATTATGAGGATACAAACAAATTAGTGACTTACTTTTACCGACTGATAGATTTAAGTTCTAGACTATAAATGAAAAGACTGAAAAAAGATGCCCAATATCTTCTTTCTTTTTTTTTCTTTCTCCATAGAACTTCATTTGTTAAATCAACCCTTCTGTTCAGTGGCTAAATGAAAGTACTCACAAGCTGGAGTTTGAAACAGTTTATAAAGTAGAAGACATGTTTTATAAACGAGCTCATTTAGACTTTGTTTTTTGAAAATAACTGAGAAGTATGCTGGTTGTTGCCTTTAACAGAAAAACATACCCTGCTGTGCTGTTTCAGCGAGCATATACGCAAATGTTTGCATGATCTGAAATAATTGGATAAAGTAGGACAGAAAGCCAAAAAAGAACTTAGCAATGGGTAGTGCTTTGTTTTGATGATCCTTTTGTCACTCACAGTTCCAGCGTCTCTCGTGGATTTGGTTGGAGTCATATGAAAGAGTTCATGTGCATGGGAAGCTGGGAAGGGTCAACGTGGCTGCACAAAAAGGAGCAAGCACACTTCGCTTAGAAGTGATAGGGACAGTACGCTAAATATGACAGCACTACACTTCATTAGTCAGGAAAAGAAGCAGTGTTTAGTTTCACGTGGAACTTTTCCAAGGGATTCCTTGTGTGATACCAACAATTTTGGACTTCAGATTACTTCAGGCTTAATGTGCTGCTTAATGTTCTCTGTTAAGGGGGGTGGGGGGGAAGGAGTGTCAGGTGGTGGTCTGTAGTGAGTTTTTTCTGGTTTTTGTCTGTTGGGTTTTGTTGTGGGTTTTTTTTGCCAAAGCCATGGAAAACATGATCTCTCAAAATAGCACAGAGAATATAGAAGATCAGCCATTAAGTCTTCAGATACAGGAAAGTGATAGATCGTGACAGAACACCACCTGAAAATCTGACAATGCAAGTATTGAGCCCCATAGTTTCTTTTTGGCCAGTTTCTTCAAGTCTTCAGCTGTATATACTAAACTTAATATTACTTTTATCTAACTTGTTTATGTTCTGTAATTTGGCCTTTAAAGGGACAGTTTCAGCTCCTCTCAGGTTTGCTTTAATGACGATGTATGTAGAATCACGTAACAATTAAACTCTATCTTTTTCCACACAAGCACTTGCTGTAGCTTGACAGCGAAGGCGGAAGTAGCTTACACAATGCCACTGAAATGTGTTGGATAAATTTGAATAGCTGACTTCAGGTCTAGTATGACCATTATTGTTGCGGAGTCTGTAAGTGTATCTGCGTAGATTTTTCACTTCCCTGCTCTGAGAAGAAGTGATTGCAAAACTAGGTATAGCATGTGAACTCTTTCAGGACTACCATGTGAATCTACTAATGTGCTTTTTAGATGCAGATTACGTCAGTTACTTACCTTTTCTGAAGTTAAGACTATGTTACAGATTCACTTCTATTTCTTCTTTGTCCTTGCTGCATGCCTCTGTCTCTCGCCTGTCAGCTGGCCCTCTGAGTACTAGCCACCTAACGGTACTAAATGTCATGTTGGTGTTATCTGTTTTTTTTTTTAAGCTAGCGCTTCTCTAAAGCTGATTGTTTCTCACTACTTTTAGTATTCCAGGCACCTCTGTTTCAATTTTATGCTTTAATATTATTCTTTCAGAACGTCAGTCCGAGTTGCCAACACAGAGCAAGGCCAGCTTCCCCAGCATTCTCAGCGATCCTGACCCAGATTCTTCCAACTCTGGTTTTGACAGCTCCGTTGCCTCCCAGATCACGGAAGCCTTAGTGAGTGGACCAAAACCTCCTATAGAGAGTATGTGCATTTACACATCTTTGTTTCTGTAACTCATGACATGCTATGTTGTTACACTTCTCTACATGAAATGTAATGTAATTCAGAAGTATTTTCAAGGTATGAAATGGGAATGAAGATGAATGAAACAGTACAAAACTGTATCAGGCTGTCTCCAGGTCAGACTCCATGGTGTTCACATTTCCAGTCTTTTAAAAATCTGGAGTCTGTCTTCAAGCTGTTACCCGTGTTCTCTGTTGGCTAAAACGCTGGCTCTGATGCCCTTCAGATCTTAGTCCCCTACACTAAGATCTGCATTGACTGTAACACCTTCCAAGGAAGCAGTTACTGTGGAAGGAAAAAAGACTGTAGAATCAGTAACTTAGTGATCTGAATCAAGAGGAAAACCAGGCTGATGTAACAGCATCACTAAAAATCAGAAATGAATGTTTTTCTGGGAGGCAAATAAGATCGTAATGCTGTTCTCAGTGTTATAATAGCTTGAAGAAATGGGGGCTTTGCTGTCTCCTTTTTGTACTGATGTAAAACTGAATACCTGAAGCTTAAGAAACGTTTCACATTGTTGCCATTTTAGGTCACTTTCGACCAGAGTTTATTCGACCACCGCCTCCACTCCATATATGTGAAGACGAATTGGCATGGTTAAATCCAATAGAGCCAGATCACACAATTCAGTGGGATAAGTCAATGTGTGTTAAGAACAGCACTGGAGTCGAGATAAAAAGAATCATGGCAAAAGCTTTTAAAAGTCCCTTGACTTCCCCACAGCAAACACAGGTAAGTATCATGCACTTTTCTGTCTAAAATGATTTTCTAACAAGCTGTTAACTCATGTATTTTAGAAAACTTGGATCGCTTTAATTGATCAGTGTTTGGATTCAGGAAACTCCAAGGACTTTAAATTGTAAAAACCCAAGAGTTTGGACTTTGGGTTTGTATGAATAAGGGAGAAATCTTTAAATTTCATAGCATTGACTGGACATAGTTACAGTTGATCAATAAGTGGCACCAATATTTTTCTGCATGGAAAAATCTCCTTACAACAAAGTTGTTCGTGCTTCTGTGGAAGCTTTTGATAAGTAATTATTTCAGAAATGCCAACACCGATTTCTACCCCCACCCCCAATTTGATAGTATTACCCCTGATTTCAGTGTGCTTTTTTTGATAATCACTATGCTAGCACTATAAAATATCCTTTATTTGCAGAACTTTTTCTGACAACAGTGAACTCGAAATTGAGGTTTGTTTGTACTGGATGGGAAACTAAAGAAGGCTGAAACTTTTCATGTTGTTTTTTTTTTCCTTCCTTGCCACCCACTGATGAAAGACTACTAAATGCTTTATTAAAGGTTTTATGGGCACAGTTGCCTTTACATGGAAATTCAAAAGTATACCTCCAGTGTCTTTCAATGGAGATGCCTAAATACTAAAGGGTTGTCATTCTCCTGTAGCTTAGATGTATTATAGCAGTTTCTTCAAGCAGTAATGTGAAGTTAAGAAAAAACAAAAACCCTGAGTCTTGTCTTTTCTTTACAGCTCCTTGGAGAATTGGAAAAGGACCCCAAGCTTGTTTACCATATTGGTCTCACTCCTGCCAAATTGCCAGACCTGGTTGAAAACAATCCTTTAGTAGCTATAGAAATGTTGCTGAAACTGATGCAGTCTAGTCAGATAACAGAGTATTTTTCTGTCTTGGTCAATATGGACATGTCCTTGCATTCAATGGAAGTTGTAAATCGGTGAGTACTATCTCAAATCTAAGAAGGTTTCCTTAAGTATGTAAAATAAATAACTGAACAGTTATTAAGTGATTGTGGGGCTAGCCACAGGGCTGTATGTGGGTGCATTCCAAAGACTACCAAAAGTAATAGGAATTGAAGAAACGACTAGTCAGATTACAGTGAAGGAAAAGAGTATCAAAACTATCATTCCCTTTTCAATTTCTTTGTGCTGTTTGTGTTGTGTGTTTCTTTTTTTTTTTAATACTCTTTTAATAATAAGACTTACTGTGCTCTGATTAATCTTGCAGAGGAAGAGAGTGCTGTGGATTTGTTGCTTTCTACAACTACTGGACTGTTTAAGTCTGTTTCTTTCATAAAGGCTTTACTTGCTTTTTGTGTAGTTCCTTATTGATGGTGCCTGTAGTTAAGGAAAAAAACCCTCTTATTTTAGTCCAGACTAAGTTTGTAAAGCTAGCTGTGGGTTGGTAATAAAGAATTGAACCTCTCGAACATCTTCAGTGCTAAGTTCAGAGAACGCTGCCAATTTTTAAGTTCCTTTTTACAGCAGTGCTATTTTAAAATATTACTGTAATGTTTTCAGCTTCCTATTAGCAGTAGCAAAACTGCAACTTAACAGGAAAAAACTCCACAATTTCCCAGCAGAAAGATGTGATGGTGGAGGCATATATATTACACTTTCATATTAATTCTTTATAATTTTATATAATAATTAAATATTTTGTTTTAATTAAAATTAATATAATTTTATATTAATTATTTATAACATGCCATATTTTACCATATTAGGTATGGTAAAAAGCACATTTCTTGCACAGGTGCTATGCTAGTTAATCTTTCAGTCCCTGCTCCACAAATTTAGAGGCTCATTCAAAGAAAACACTGTGTTACTCTTTAATATTAGCAAAGCATTTCTACTTTGAAAAGAATGGGGAAATACATATTCTGTTGTGGATAACTTCAACTGGAGTTGATAATTACTAGAAAAATCATTATATCAAGCTGTTTGATACGTTCAGCTCAAAACAGTATTTAAAATGGTTATCGCTTAAGGGTGTCTGTCACTGCAATCTACAGTATGCCTAAAGTTTTATTCAGATATCAGGTTCCTGGTTAATATATAAATTTCACTAGCAAGTACATGTCCTATGTCCCAGGAAGCTGCACGTTTACTTACTGACTTGCAAAATGACCAGTTACTGGATGTGTATGGTTTTGTCACTGTAGTGACTGTCTCTCCCTCTAAGGGGTCACAATCCAGTCGTTCCTGATGAATAATTCACGTTCTTTTCTCATATCTTAAAAATTAGCCTCATCTCTAGCTTCTGTCTTCTCTTTCAAGTGAGGTGGCAGCTGTGTTTTATTAGGACATCTGGAAATGTTCATTTTGATCATTCTTGAGGTATGCTTGTGTGAAAGACAGAAGACTACAGTGGGACAAAGAGCAGTTATTGTGAGAATCCTCCACAAAAAGTTAATGCCACACAGCTAATCTGCTTAAACGCAACTTGCATTCCTGATGTGGCGTAAGTGAACAAAAGGTGGCATTGTTAAATAGCCATCCTGCTTTACGTTCATGCCCTGTCTTCATTGGGAATAACTCCTGCATATAGGTACAACCCATTTTCTTCACAGAATGCTCGCCCTTTCAGTGGGAAAACTTCTCAGACAGCTAATCCCCACAAACTACAAAAGTCCATCTCTCCCACTTACTTTCTTCTATTTCTTGGCAATTACTGAATGTAAACTACCAAATCAGCCTTGTTCAGCAGTCTCTTTGCAGCAGAGTTGAATCGCACCTTAAGTTATCATTTGAGGAAAGAAACGTTTCTGAAATAAATCCCTCCCTACTGGTGCAGACTGACAGCAGTTACTGCCCTGAAGTTGGGCTAATGATCACAACGTGGAGAAATAGTGGTAAGGAAAGAGCTTTTACTCCTGTCCAGGATAGCTACACCACCAGCCAGGCATGCTGATTCTGCCACAGCGTAACTACCATAGGAACAACAACTCTCAAACTTCAAAATGACTGTCAGTGCAAACAGGGAGACACCGATTTTTTTTAAGTGAAATAAGACAACAACTTTAAACTGAAATGTCTAAAACATGCACTGTTTTCCCTATTGCCCCCCCTTCACTACTTGAGATAGGACTGTGATTAGAGTTCCTTTGGTCAAATTCTGTTGTAACTTTATGGCAGTTCTACATTTAGTGTATGTATGTTGTTATCTTGAGAGCTGTATTGCTTTATTAGTTAAGAAACAGTGGCAGCTCAAATACTTTAGTAGTCAGTATTATTAAACCACAAATAGGTGTGCTTTGCTGTTAGCCCTTAAAATACACCAGTACCATTCTTTGATGCCATAGTTCTCCAATTCTTCTGTAGTAAGGAGCTTCTGAGATTATCGTGCGTCATTAATTTAGTTAACATTTTCATCTAGTCAGGGTCTCTTTTATTTGAGCTGTAGATATTCATATTGTTTCAGTTCCTAGGACTAAAATGTGGATCTGAAGGAACCAAGGAAACTCATCTTTTGCCGTAACAAAGGAGTTACTCTGGTTGTATACTTAAGGAAGGAGTGCAGCATCTAGATTCAGTACCTAAAATTCAAATATGAATAAGCAAAACTGTATTGTAGTGCTTATTGCAGAAGAATCTTGGTACTTAGGCAGCTTGGGGACTTCATCACAAATTGGAAACTAGTACCATCGACTCATTTGTGTAATATATAGCAAATGTTTGTAGGTGTGTCAAATATACTAGAAACCAATCTAACTCAGCTTCTGTACCGTGTCAGAGTTTAAAAAAAAAAGGTTTTGGACTCTTAATGAACAAATTTAAGTGATTAGAAATATGTCTGTGGAAGCTGTCAGAAATCAGCTCTGTATGACATGACTGGGAATAAACTAATATCACAGGTCTAACTCCTCCGTTTTGCAATGGAATCACTAGATTTATGGCTTCATAAACCACTGGATATTTTTAATTTGGACAGGCTTACTACTGCAGTTGATCTCCCGCCTGAATTTATTCATCTTTATATCTCCAATTGTATCTCCACCTGTGAACAGATTAAAGACAAATATATGCAGGTGAGTACTTCACTAAATTCGTTAGGAAAAAGGGTCCCACATATTGCTTTGTGTAATACGTGCCGAGATTTTATAAGGCTGATAGCATTAAGTTATTCTATCTTACTGCTTCTTTATTTCAAAGGCACTTTTTTTTTTCCCAACACACTATGCAGTTCTTTATAGTGTTTAACAGATGTTTCTTCACCTTTTTACGAGGCTTCACAGGTAATTACTGTTCCCTGTTTTTCTGTAGACATAATACACTTCTCCCTGGCAAAACTGCAGTTTTATGTGACTGAGGTCCTTACATGCAGAAGGCTTACCCGTCACTCAGTGTGCCTCTTCTTCACCCCCAGTATTAGTTGTTTGCCTTCTCCTTAGTTTTAAGCTTCAAGTTTCTTTTCTGTACGAGTGTGCCCACCACTCCCAGACCTTTGAGGTGATGTTACAAAACTCGCATGGAAGTCTTGCCCTTCAATCATGACCATTACTGACCTACAACAGCTTGCGGATCTCCTCAAAGACCTAAAAACCTTCTGTTTTCTGTCTTCCTAACACCATACTCTCTGCTTCCCAAGCCTGTCATACTTCCTCAGTACCAGCATGCACGTTGTAGTCACTTCAAGGATCTTTAACCCTGGGGAGATTTCCACACCTTTGGCACACAAGGTTCTCTACATGCTGTGCGAGGTACTTCCTTCTATCCTAAACTGATCTGTTGGTTTCACCAAGTGCCCAGTAGAACTTGTTTTCTTGGATACGTCATTGGTGAAAAACAGTTCCATGTTCAGTTTACCCGAGGCTTTGTGAATCTTGACCAAGTCCTGCCTCGGCTTTTTCCTCTCAATACTGAAGGACTGCAACCTCTTTAGTCCCTTGCAACAAAGGCAGCTGTTCCTTTCCCTTATGCTTTTTTGGTGTCCTTCTCTAGCTCTATTATATCCTTAAGCTGCAGAGACGAAAATTACGTGCAGTATGCAGGATATGGGTGCAGCGTGGGTTTAGATAGCAGCAGAAACCCCTCTGTCTTGTTCTCAGTACCCTTCCAGATGATGGCTAACCATTTGTTAGCTTTTGGTGGCTGCTGATGCTTCTCTGCTTTGGGACTCTGCCAGATACACATGGGTGGCTTGATCTGTGACCTGCTGAATAGCTGTGCCTATTACGTTTGGTAGCAGAATAGGAAAATAGCAGCAGACCTGGGCTGCAGCTGAGAATATGACCACAGAGTGGGACACTGTGCTCAAAGGGGCTGCTGAGAGCATGTAGCAGCTGTGCTTCAGGCACACAGGGGACAAAAAAGAACAGAGGGTCAAGGAACACATACTGATCACCAAGTAGCATGCGAAGCTTGTGAGATCTAACATTTGTTAATACTGTGTATGAGGCCTCACAGCAACTGAGACACAAGATGTTTTGTTTGAAAAGCATGGTACAAAAACACTCCTATTGGAAGTGAAAGAGGCATGATCCTCAGAGATTGGGAGCCAGCCAGCATCTTGCATTTGTACTTTTATTCTGAGTTTCATGTTCCTCGGTTATTACTCTTGTAACTTAATTTGTGTTGCAGAGAAAACGTGATGCCTTTTGATTGCAGTGAAGGAAATAATACCTTGTTCAGTTTCTGAATTCTCTTGGTATAGGTAGCAAATTTTGCAGTAGTAAGCTCAGTTCCTGTAAAAATAGTTGGCAATTTATTTTCAGTGTCATAATCTAAAATACTTTGGACACTTAATATCTATCAGACAGTCCCCTCAGTTCTGTCTGATAAACATTGTTCATGTATATAGTTGCTTTTAGAGCAAGGTTTGGGTTCAACTCTTTCTCACAACGTGAACTATGAGACCACTTTAATGATAAAGTAAGAAAGATCTGCTTTTGTCCTTGAGGACACATGTACTCTGTATAAAGCAGACGGTTAGTGACTGGATCGGTGTATGACAAATTGTAGGTGCCAGTTCCTAGGTCTCCACCTCCCAACTCCCAGCGTGCTCTACAAGGTGTTTTCCAAGCAGCCCTTAGGAAGGAGAAACACTTCTGAGATCCCATCTTTTCACTGGAGCAGGTGGAAAATCACAGCTCACAGCCACGAGCTCGGAAGTGTCTTCTTGGATTAGGTGTCCCTGGTATTGTCTTTCTTTCCTTCTAAGACAGAGCAAGAGGGTCATGTGCTAATTCAGCAATAGAGCACTTCCCACAGAGCAAGTTTGGGATCAGTTCTGCTGCTGTCACTTCCCAGCTGGAGTGCCTTAATCATGTGGTGACTGGGGAATTTTGAGAGGTGAAGCTTGTTCATTTTTCTTTATGGTGTTATTGTAGAAAATAAGACTAAGCAAGAGGGGTGACCCTAGTGATGAAATCATCTTGGTCTATGACCCCTTCTGACTTTATTCAGAGATGGCATAATAAAGAAACTAAGTACAGTGCATAGGTAGATCTGGTGCTTCACTGGTGCGTGGGATTAGTCTTGAGGAAGCTCCCATATCTGGAAGTACTATACAGCAGAGGAGTCCGTTTCTTAAAATACAGTAGCAGTATGGGAGGTAGAAAAGTAGGGGCAGCAGGTACAAAGCTTGGGAACAAGACTACTGCTGAAGCTAAATTGCTCCTGGTAGCCTCAGTTGTGCTGCTGAGGGCCAACAGTCCTTTAACTGTGACTTGGTTGCGAACATTTATTTGGATTATGAAACGTATCTCTTCTGTTTCAGAACCGCCTGGTACGTCTCGTTTGTGTCTTTCTTCAGTCTTTAATCCGAAACAAAATTATTAATGTACAGGACTTGTTTATAGAAGTGCAAGCATTCTGTATTGAGTTCAGTCGGATACGAGAAGCAGCTGGCCTTTTCAGATTGCTGAAGACACTAGACACCGGGGAAAATCCATCAGAGACAAAAACATCAAAATGAAACCACTGTGTCACTGGCAAAAAAAAAAAAAATTGAACCCTGCCAGTGTTCTATACCAATTACTTGTATATTTTAAACTTAAATCACTGGATTAATGATGTAATACACTATAAATAGCATTTTATGCATTTAAACAATAAATAATGCTTTTTCTGATACACATGCTTGAGTTTGTGAAATGTGTTAGGCCTCACACTTATGCTATTTTTGACTATGGGTTAAGCTCTGTATGTCATTTGCATATCCTGAACTACAGGCTCTAATTCCAGAGGGGATGTCAATGATACTTGCCATTTCATAGCAAATTTAAGTATTAATCTGGCACTTGCTGTCCTTGTGTCCAAAAGTCAACTTGTATCAAAGTAAGTAACTTCAGTTCCTGTTTGCCCTTTTTTCACTGTGTAAGACCTTCTAGAAGCTGGATACAACTTATAATGATGCATGCTGGTTTTGTTGAGTAATTGAAAGTCTGTCTTGATGTCTAGAAAAAGCTAAAGGCTTATCTTCACATGGCAGAAATGAAGCGTTGGATGCTGTAGGCTCAGAGCAGTACTTTCTCTTCTCAAGATCACTGAATTTTTCTAGAATACTGGCCTCATACCATCAGTAGTTGAAGTACCACACCTATTTCATGCTTGTAAGAATGTTTCCCAGAGAAAGATGATCCCATTTCATCCATGAAAATCTCAAGTCATGAGCCTTTTCTCACTTCAAAACTTGCATTGGCAATTGCTCTGTGGCTACCAAAATTAAAATAGCCTCTTCCTTCTAAAGCATATAGTCAGTGTACCATTCAGGTGTTAGATATCAGGTGATGGGGAAACTGGGGAAGGAGTCTGCTAAAGTATTATTTTAAGCAGATAGAATAGCTGCTGTTATTTTCATGAAAAGGAAAAGAAATTGAAAAGCTAGCTAATTCTAATTTAATGCTGCTTGATAAATGAAAGCTGTTTTAAATCTGCATCTGCTTCTCAAATTTTTATGAAGTGCAAGATCAATAATACAAGGTCAAGACTGTCTTTTAGGTTTCTCTTTCCAAGTAATTTAAGTTGCTAAATTGCTTGGATTGAAAAATCCCATCCTCACACAGCATAATCTTCTGGTAAGAAGTCCTGTGAGAAGCGTTCTCCAGTCATTAGGGGTTAGACTTGTATAGCTTCCCAGAGTTAAGATGTATTAGGCCAACTAAAGTAGCATTTATTTAAGGCCTTTTCCAATTCTAGACATTCCTTCTAAACCCTAAGACATTTGCTATAGTCATTGTTAGCAGCAACAGTTAACCTAGCTTGTGCACCAAATTTGTACCTTAATGCTTTACATCCGCTAAAGTTGAAGTACAATTTGACTATCTTCTATATACTAGTACCCCTCTTCAAAAACATGGTCAAAAAACCACTTTATATAGATTTTAGGCTTTTGTTATAAGCTGTAGTACTAAGTTCCAAACAAAGTAATACGCTCCATCAGAAAACTGATTACTACTGCTTCAAGGCATTGCAATTACCTTATGATTTACAGAATTACTTTAAAAAAATTTAAGCCTTGCAAAAAAAAAAAAGTAGGTTGCTACTATGGTGTTACAGCAAAAGCCTAGCTGTTCTTACTCTTCACAGTATTTGCTTGAGTTGGACTGACATACCTAAATTCCCAATCCCTGGGTTTGTCCTGTAACTAAAAAAATTATCAAACATTAAGAAACCATCATGATTTTTTATCACAGGCATTTCTGTAATATATTTCTATACTTGGGAAATAGGCACAGCCCATTAATTTCAGAGCCCTGTGCATTGATGAAAACATTCAAACCTGTTACTGAATTTGCTGTACGCTTCCACGTTTGCTTTTTAGGAGGGAAGTTTCCCACGTTCCCTAGCGTGTTGGGTTTACATGGCAAGGTTGTGGTAGTCAGGGGGGGACAGGACTGCAGGGTAGCCTCTGTGAGGAGAGGCCAGGGCTGCCCTGTGTCAGACTCAACCATGGCACAGGTGAGCCCCTCAGCCAGGGCTAGCTAGTAACTCCAGGTACCCCACAGAGAAGATCCACACTGGAGCAGTTCTTCAAGAACTGCAGGCCATGGGAGGGACCCCACACTGGAGCGGGGAAACAGTGCAAGGAAGGAACAGCAGAGACCAAATGTTACACACTGACCACAACCTTCCTTCCCCAGCCCCCCACCACCACTCACAGGGAAGGGAAAGGTAGAAGAGTCAGGAGCGAAGCAGTAAAGGTGAGCCTAGGAAGACCAGGGGGAAAGAAAGGTGGTTTTAGTTTTCTCCTTGTTTCTCACTATCCTACTCGATTTTTAAATGGCAGTAAATTAAATTTAATCTTCATCAAGTCTGTTTTGTCTGTGATGGTAACTGTTCATCTTGACCCATGAGTTTTTCCATCTTATTTTCTTCCCCTACCCTATTGAGGAGGGAGAGTGAGAGCAGCCGGTCAAGGTTAAACACCCCACACCCCACCCCACCCAGGTATTGGTTACATGGGGAAAACTCTACATGCAGAAAGGATCTCCCCCTTAGCTACCCAGCATGAAGTTAAGCTTGTTTTGTGCTGTGCTACTTGAGTGTCTCAGATCCACTTACATAAACATAGCAAAGACAACAAAACCCTCAAGCTTCTCAGACATTGCTTTTTAAAAGGTCTGTATAATTTATTATGGAATTTGAGCTTTTAGCCATTAAGTTACAACAACAATGCATAACTTGACATTCTTACAGTTGTACATACACAATGGAAAAGACCTAGCCCAGTGCTTAATCCAAACAATGCAACCAAGTTAGTACAAGGTGACCATAAAAGACAGTCAATTGTGAATAGTTGTTGACAGACTAGCAAGTTCAAATGGTTCTCTGCAGTTACGTTTATAGTAGAAGTAATGGCTTCAAAGTTTTGGACTTAAGCTTCAGACTAACAAGACAATGGAAACTCAAATTATTTTGCTCTTCTGAATTGAGTAGGATATGCTCGTTTAAAAATGCAGTATCATTACCGTGTTTCAGATGGTGAAAAGTATCTTCAGGTCCAATGGAAGTATAGTGGACGTTTTCCAGGCAATGCATTCTTCACACAAACACATGCAATTATAGAGACATTCTACTTTTAAAACTTTCTCAAATCGAGTTTTGCAATACAGCAGGATATCTGAGGAGAGAGATCAGGATCCATACTGAACAAAAACAAAAGCCTTCAGCTTGATTTGTGCATGTTTAATCTACAATTCCAATTCCCAAATCTTCACATATCACCTGTGAGAGAAAAGAACACATCTAGTAAAGATCAGTCTCGAGGACAGAAGACACTGCAATTTTTACAGTCATTCTGGTTAAAAAAAAATATGCTGCTGCCATCTTCCATTTCAGGAATTGTAATTCACCGTGGCCCTATGATAAAACTGCACCTCTTCACCTTACCCAAGGGGGGAGTCTTGCTCTTCCCTCCCCCACCCCAACTCCTCATCCCCTTAGCCCAGCTCTAAAACTCAGTCAATTGCACAGTAAGGATATTCAGTTTCCTAGCTTGTCAAAATACAGCTTTAATAGACTTAATTTTCTGCCACTTAAGCTGAATTAGTTTATCACATACTCTTAATCTGAATGTGAGACAGAGCACAGCAAATAGAGCAGAAAAGGAAACCAGAAAGGACCACCCGGTCTCTCCTTGTAACAGCAAGCTATTAAATTGGTCCAAGCCATTGTGCGAAGCCTCACCCAGCCTGGTGGCTGAAGGGAGACATACAGAAGAGAACGGTCTCTTGTCAAGCTGCCAACACAAATTCATTGACCCAGCAGCCAACACCAAGAATTCCATTCCCTCCAGGTTAACCCAACAAGATACTGCCAGCTGACTCCTCTACTAGATTTCAGTATGTTCTTATTGATCTCAGTATCTTCATCCAGCACAGAAACACTGCATTCAATGCCAAGCACTGAAAATCAAACCAATGAAAACTGTACATGCAACCTCTTCACTCAGAAAAACCCCCAACAAAAACCAACAACAAAACCCCCAAACACCCACCTAACCATCACCACAATATCATCATTACTGGCTTGATTCAGGGTGCTAAAGGCTCTGTTAAGCAAGAGTTCCCAGTTTCACTGAACACTTGGAGTGTTGATGTGTAACAAAAACATATCTTTATTACACATTGTGGCAACAAATGAAAAAATATTCCACAAATTCAGAATGCCATTCTTAACCTACTGGTGTATACTTCAAAGTACAGTTGGTATTTGCTAACAGTAGTTGCGTGTCCAGACTTGTCTAGACAGGAGAAGTCTGCTTTTATGGGGCAGCTAAGTGATCAGCCCAACCTGTTGTGTCCTATCTTTTGCCATCATAATGTAAACCCAACACCCTTCGCTTCTGATCGAGCTCATCAAAACCTGCAAGTGTAGATACTGCCTCTGCCTCGGACATCCTCTGAACCACTGGGCACAGAAGTGGGGTAACCATTGCTACACACTTGCTGGGCTCCCCTCTGCATAACTACTACTGCCTAGTCTTAGAGAAAGCTTAGCAGGCCAGGCAGAAAACCAGGATGACCACTCCTCAAATCAGTAAGTGATTAAAAAAAAAAAGACCCTTTGCACATTTGCTAAAGTTGTTGCCATGGTGTTTCTTCCATGCCAGTTACACCCTGGCACAGGACTGGAATTCCCAAAGCGTTAACAGCCCAGCTTTGGCAGGAATATACCAGTGCCCAATTTATTAAGTCGGCATGGATTAAAAGCACTCTCACTGTAGTTAAATTATCCTACAACTCCTCTGGCATACCTCTAGAATCTAGCACTAATTACTGGCAACAGGTTACTGGACTACATTCACATACTCGGGGGGGAGAAGGAGTTACTGCTATCTCATCAAACTTCCCTAGTACATGCAAAGAAATCTCCTCTAAGCATTGCTTAGAGCCAAAGAAGAATTAGTCTAGGGTAGTTAGTAGAAGAAAATCCCCATTCTCTAGTTAAATCAGTACTGCAGGTAATTAAACTATTAACACGCATTTAGATCTGAAGTGTCTACGGTTCCTTTTTGCTTGCTATCAAGTCTGAAAGCTGAAGCTAGTTTAAACAGTTATTTACTATCAAATTTATTCTCCAATTTGGCATTTGTAGACTATTATTAATAAACTAAGATTTCTGAACAAAGA